TTCACTTCTCATCCAAGAGGCTTCTTCAGCTCTGACAGGATAGTGGGAAATGGAAGAATGTATATTCCTTGCAGGCAGCTGGTCATGTGCATCTTTTAAGAGGGTTGTTGAAGCATCTGTGTCCTCAGTCACCTGAGTATTGCACTTGGTTCCTGTAGTCTGCATTTTTTTCTTCTTCTCTGGAAATCCATTCCTACTCCCACACCATTCAAAGGGTGTTAATCCCAAATTGTACAGCTAAAAGTCTGCAGAGATTCTCAGTCATCCAGGTCATGGTTGTCTCAAAGGTGCTTTTTCAGGAAGCAACTGGCCTTTCTTATTTTTTTCCAGTCCAGTCGCCATGCGCAAAAGACGAATTCCCTTTGAGTCTGTATTAAAGATAATCCTTCACTTAGAACCATTCATTTATCCCAAAGGTGCTTTTTCAAGAGGCAACTGGACTTTGCAAACTACAGGAAACAGAAGCACTATTCAGGTGACCCTGAGGGCACAGATAAACCTCCCAGTGCTTCAAAGGCCCTCTAAAAGGATGCAAAAGACCAGCTGCCAGCAAGAATACAAATCCTTCTATTCCCGACTGACAGATTCTTGGATGAGAAACAAAAGAAGAAGAAAACAAAACAAGACAAGAAAGTCCAGTTGCCTCCTAAAAAACACCTTTGGGACAACCATGACCTGGATGGCTGAGAATCTCTACAGACTCCAACTACAAAATTGTGGGAAGATTTACCTATCACACCAAGGCCCCACTACCCCAATCCTCTTAGAAATGCTAAACAAGCTTGATTTGATTAATATAGTGGTTGCATGCAAACATCAGGGCTGTACTGTAGTCTAATGTGGGGAAAAACATCCCTGAAGGGCAATTTCCAATCATTTCCTTATTGTTGCTCTAATCAAGGCACGTCCATGGGAACGTCTTCGAAGGAAAAAAAGAAAAAAGAAAGTCTAGTTGCCTCCTGAAAAAGCACCTTTATGACCTGGATGACTGAGAATCTCCATAGACAATCATTCATTTAGTGACTGTTCAGAGATATGACCGATCCTTGGATTTTGCACCCAGCACTATGGCAGCATCCCCGATCACATGACCAAAATTAGGGCAATCAGCATGCATTTATGATGGTTACAGCATCCTGGCCTCATGCGATTGCCATCTGCCACCTTCCCAGCCAGCTTCCAACAAGGATTTGTTGGATTTGTTTAATGACCATGTGATTCACTTAATAGTGGCACTTAACCAGGGCCATAAAGGCCACTGGTGCAAGTCACTTAACAACTGCCTTGTTTAGAAATGGAAATTCTGGTCCAGATTTTTCTGGTCTCAAATCGAGGACTATCCATGCTGCTGCTTTGAGAAACAGCTGCTCGGAAAAGCAGGCAACAAGGTCCTTGTCCCATAATGTGAAGGAAGCAATTGTGACACGGCTTTATGGGTGGATGATCAGAATCCCCAGCAGCCTTAAGGGCCTCGTCCGTCTCCCTGCTTTAAGATCCAGCGCCAATTATGGGCCATCTCTTTTGGATGCTTCCCCGCAGACCTTGGTGTGCCTACCACATGGAGGATGGTGGGATTGCAGCCAATGATGAAGGGAAGGCTTCGAAACCCTTTGATGCGGTGAGCAATACGGACCGGCAGCTCGTGGTGCAGGTAACGGGAGCTTTTCTGTAGCCAAAACACAAAAGGGAGAGATTGTAGGGCGGCGGACTCCAACCTTTCTGGCTGGTGGGACTGGAGGCGGTGGGGTGGAGGGCGAGGGGGAGAAGGGCTGGTTTCACACGCATGCCCCGCTTTGACAAAGGCAACTTTGCGTGCATTCACCCACCCTTTCCACAGCCTGGCATTGGGTCGCGGACTGGAGGTTGGGGACCCCTGTTGTAGATCATTTGATTCTGCTGCCTGATTAAGCCCAGTATGCACTGGCAGAAGGAAAACATCACAGTTGCCAAGGTTGAGAAAGGCTGCATTAGAGGGTATCAAATAAACAGATAACTGAGATAAATGGGATTCAAAAGCTTCAGAGAGACTCCATGCTCTTACTAATAATGGATATTTGGAAACTTTCCACCTCACTTCTCAATATTTTCTGCTCCAGCTCCTCAGTCTTGGCATTAAAACTCATTGGATTATTATGCGCTCTGTTTAAAGGGCTTGACAGGAATGTTCTCCAAGGAAGGACATAATGCTGGGCTGCATCTCCTGTTATTCCCAGCCAACCTGGCCAAAGGGGCAACACAACTCAACTGGAACACCACAGAGTATCATAAAGACTGATCTAAAGTCCAATAGTCTTGTTGAAACGGGACAGAGCTAGTGCCTGGGCTCAGCTGTGCAGAAGGCAAGAGAAGAAGAGAGCAGTGAAAAGAGAGCAGGCTAAGCTTACAAGCACAAACTTAATTCCACTTTTCCCCTAAGGGCCCTCAGCCAAGCCCAGCACTTGGCTCTCTGGTTGCTGCATCTACATGTCTTAATTTCAAACACCTTCTGCTTTAAACCAAGGATTGGTTTGCATATGCCCTGATGGTGCCTAAATTCTAAAGAATGGGGGTGGGGGGGGGTTGTGGGTGTGGGTGTGTGAAGTTTTGGCAGGGCCTTTTTTTTTACCTTAATACTGCAGAAGACACAAAATAGAAGGGAGAGAAGAGAGAGGTTCTTAAACTAACAAAGTAAAATGCATATTTAAGAAGAAAGAAGTGATATATTATCCTTTTACAGTACAAACCAGAAATTTAATGTTACAGTTTAAACCAGAAATGGCTAACCTTGGTAACTTTAAAACTTGTGCACTTCAACTCCCAGGATTCTGGGAGTTGAGGTCCAAAGGTCTTAAAGTTGCTAAGGTTGGACACTGGTTTAAACCATCTCAGAATATTTGTGGGGGGATATAGTATTACTAGAATGGTATAATACATTAAATGTCAATAGGATGAATAGTTTGTTTTATTATAATTGGGAGTAGGAGGAAACTTTGTTTTAAGTGTAATGGTGGCACAACCAAGAACTAAAAAGGGTGTAAATAATAGAAAATACAATTTTATGAATGTCTATTTGAATTTTATCATTTGTTAAATATTGCAAATATGACTAATATAGAATTTATAATAAAAAAGTGATGTTGACACAAAATAGTACATGAGAATATTGAATAATTAAGATCGATAATATGCATTAATATCAATTTATGTAAGAAAATTAATAATATCAGTGTGAAACTATTGTCATGTTTGTTTTAAAATGTAAAATGGCCTGGAACCGCACTATTCACACAATGATGTATATATACAAACAAAAATGTATTTTTTTAAAAAAATGGGGGCCAAATGTTTGATGGGCCAAATACCTCTATGTGTGAAACCCAAACCTAAGAAATAGAATTTCAAATTAAGCTTGCCATAAGGGAAGGAATTTTGAAGCAGGGGCTGCTTCTTTATCAACAGATTTTTTCCATGTGCTAGATTGTGTCTTCTGAAAAAAGCACCTTTCTATTCCAGATACATAACAGAATCATAAAATGCAGCTTTTCTAGGCCACACCTATTAGGTATACACAATCTTGGATACAGACTCCCGAAAGAGACTTCCTGCTCTTAAAGAGTTAGGACACAAACCAAGATTTCTCAATGTGCAGAACAGCTCCTGAGGAAGCAATAAACCCCGTAATTCCAAGCAGGGAAAAGAAAGGATGAAAAGCAGATTTCAATACTTGAGAAATAACAATGTGGAGGTAATCTCACACCTACCAAAAGGTGACTGCCATCTTGAGAACGTCCAGAATACAACATGGTGGTAGGTGTCAACCTCACAGAGGGCTGCAAAGAGAACAGAAAGCATGTTCACAAAAACTCTAGAGGCTCCCAGGGAGGCAATAAGCACAGCACCCCATGACAAAATAAATAAATAAATTCATTATACCCTACTCTGTAGGGCAGGGGTCTCCAAACGTGGCCTCTTTAAGATGTGTGGACTTCAACTCCCAGAATTCCCTAGGCAACATGGCTGGCTGAGGAATTCTGGGTATTGAAGTCCACAAATCTTAAAGTTGCTACATTTGGAGACCCCTCCTGTAGTTCAAAGCCTTTTCTCAAATCCATGATACCCTCCAAAGTTTTGTCCGTGACCCTCTTTGTAACACTTCTGGACTTTGTTCTTGAGGTGGAAAAAAAAATGAAACTTTGATTTTCAGTTTTGCTGATGAGACAGGTCTGTTATAGAAATGGCTCTAATACCTATTACTATGTAAGCAGAAATCATTCCATGATGATACGTTAAGATGGATTGCACCACGTTTTTGTGATATTTAATGTTTTATTATTGTGTTTTATAGTTTTTAAAACAATTTTATATGTTTTAAAATCTTGATTGGGAGCTGTCCAGAGCTGGCTGAAAGATGGACGGCTGTATCAACACTTTAAATAAACAATAAAAATTCCAGACACAAAGTAAACCTTGAACCAGTTATAATGGCCAGCAAATTGCCCTAGCATCTGATGTAGAGAACCACAGAGATGAACCATGCAGAGATGATGGCTTCAAAATCATGCTTCAAGCCTGGGAAACAGGGAAAATGTGAATAAGGAGTCCACTCCAATTCATTAGAGCAGTGGCCCCCAACCTTTTGGGCACCGGGGACAAGTTCTATGGAGATTCTGGAGATCAGAGAGTGGATTTGAGTGCTGCCTGCATCCCACAGATGGGGCTTTGCTTGTTTGTTTGGCCCGGTTTGTGGCATGCAGCAAATCTATGCCTGTCCACGGACTGGGGGGGGGGGGGAATTGGGGACCCCTGCACTAGAGCAGCGTTTCTCAACTTTTTTGGCAACTTTAAGTTGTGTGATCCCACCATGGATGACTGGTTGTAAAAGCTGATGGAGTTAGCAGAGATGCTTGAACTGACTACTTTAACTAAGGAAAAGAATACACCTAACTTATTTTTCGCTTCTGGAGTTTGTTCTTGAGGTGGGGGGAAAAAATGAAACTTTGGTTTTCGGTTTTGCTGATTAGATAGGTTTGTTGTTATAGAAATGGCTCTAATACATATTCCTATGTAAAAGTAAAAAAGTTGAGGCTGTATGGTATTAACCTGCCCAGGTTGAGCAATACTGTGTGCTGAGGGAATCATTTCAACTGGGAATCAGCAAAATAGGACCCAAAGACTTTGTGTCTGCGGCATTCAAAGCACATTGGCTGTCTTCCAAGGAAATGAAATAACAGAGAAGCTCTGCGAAGTCTAACTCCACCCAACCTCCTTGCCATGAACACCGAAAGGGCATTAACTGTGCCAAAACCAACAGATCTGTAGTCAACTAGGTCAGGCGCCCTTCAGGAATGCAAACCTGCGCTTTTATTTCAGTCCTGGATAAATACGCCCCTGCTTCTGGGTGCCAGAGCTAGTCCTGGTCCTATCTCCAGGCCGAGGTTTTATTGGAAGGTGGTAGAAAAACGGGCTGCCCCGTCGGGTTATGTCTGAGGAATGAGTGGGGACTCGGCTGCAATATCTGTTCTCGGTCCCCTTTTGAAGGACTTTAATGTCCCTTTGCCTGCAGGCCGCACCCTGCACGTATCTTGAAGGGAGATTTTGTAAGCTCCCTGCTGAACAAGGCCTCTGTCCTTGCAGTGGTGGCCAGGTGAAGGACGTTCTTTGTTACGGCCTTCACTGCCCCATTCACAATGACGTCAGGGCTGAATCATTAATGGCCAATGAACTCAAGGACTCTGACCTTGAAAAATGGAATTAACGTCTTCATAGGGATGGACAATTAAGACAACCTCACGACCTGTGGACTTCAATTCCCAGAATTCCTGAGCCAGCCATACATGGCTGGCTCAGGATTTCTGGGAGTTGAAGTCCATAAGTTGCCCATCTTTGATCTCTCAGAGTTTTTCTATCAGTCAGCAACCAAGTTGCTACCTTGGCTCGGGGTCATTTAATTTTCGAAAAAAATATTTAAGTCCTTCTTTGTAGCTTCTATTTGGTTGCAATCTTTTTACACCTAATAAAGGTAATCCTCAATTTATGAGTGGTTGTTTAGCGACCATTTGAAATTATGACAGACCATCTTACAACTTGGTTGTGAAGTTCCAATGGCTGCCCCACCCCCGGCGGTTACACAACTGCTTTCGGTTGCTCGGCAACAGTTATGCACAATTATGCCCCATGGTCACATGACCATGATTCACGCTTTTGCCAAAAAGCAGCATTTACTTCCGGTTTTTGGCAAAAACACTCCGCCACAAACAATGGATTAGCATAATAACCGCTCCAAAAAGACGTTATAAAAATGCATCCACTTACGTAGTGACCTGGTTTATGACTGACAAGCCCAAATGGGCAGGGTCCATTATGGTCGCATGTCAGAGGAGCACCTGAACGTCTATTACAGGTAGTCCTCGACTTACAACAGTTCATTTAGCAACTGTTCAAAGTTACAACGGCACTGAAAAAAATGACAATTTTTCACACTTATGACTGTTGTTGCATCCCTGTGGTCATATGATCAACTTTTGTGACCTTTTGACCAGCAAAGTCGATGAAGAAGCTGGGTTTGCTTAACAACGGTGTTATTAATTTAACAACGGTGGTGAATCACTTAACAAATGTGGCAAGAAAAGTCAAAGTAAAATGGGGCAAAACTCAGTTCACAACTGTCTCACTTAGCCACATAAATTTTGGGCACAATTGTAGTCGTAAGTCAAGGACCACCTGTATATGGAGCCATTGTATATGCATTGTACTCTTATCTTATAATTTCACTGTTTCATTGTTATTTTATTATATGTTATGGCACAGTGATGGGATTCAAAAAAAATTTACTACCGGGACTTCCGGTTTGAAGGGCTTCAGCGACAGACAGGAATCCGCGATCTTGTGCGGTTTCTGTCTGGGCTCGCCGCTGGACCGCCCCGAGCTGGCTGGTTTCGGGGCTAAGCCACCCCGTAGAGGTGGTGAAGAGGGGGGAGACCACCAGCAAGGTTGAGAAGAGCCGCATCTCTCCTCCTCAGCTGGCCATTACTCCCTTTCCCAAAGGCGATAAGAGCGGTGATCAGAAATGGCCACCTCAAAGAAGAACTCAACAGGAAAACAACGTACAGATAAGATAAGAAGTGAAAGTTTTGGCTGACTGGGCTAAGTTGAAAAAGTAATAACTAAGGTACCCTGGAATTTAAATTTTACAAGAAATAACATCGCTCCCAAAGAAGAGTCGGAAGCAGCGAAAGAAAGTGAAAAGGGAAAGGTTTAGCTTTTTTTTTTCTTCTCTCTCCTTCCTTATATTGACAACTAAGAGACCTAAATAAGAAATTGGAAAAATCCGCTTTGGCATCAATAGGCAATTAAGCTGAAAATATAACTAAATGCCAAAGGGACAATAAAGATTTCTGGACATTAAAAACTTTTTCTTTTATAAGCAGGAAGGGAGAGAAAAAGAATAAGGGCAGGATCTGGAAGAGGGAGGAGACTGCCTGGACTTTAAAAGAATCTAAAGTAAAATTTCAATAAGACTTCTAAAAGATACGTTTTAACTGAAACTTTGCAACTAAATAGTAACCCCGGAAGAGAAAGTGGGGAAAAAAAGAAAGAGCCAAAAGAAACAGCTCGCGTGTATTTGGATTATTTGGTGACTTTTGGATTTTTGGTGATTATATTTGAATGACTAAAATCAGTCGGGTGGTTGGTTAAAAATTTCTACAATGGCATCACTTTTGGATGAATTGAAAATGGAACTTAAAAAGTACAAAGAAGATGCACAAGAAGGGAAGAGTTCTTTTGCCTTCGTTTTTCAGTTCTTAGAAATGGAGATCTGGAACTATGAGAAAAAACAAGAAAAGACTGCAAAACAAAAGACTGGGACAAAGAAGAAGCCATCTTTAATGAACAAGTAATTCTATGTGGGGAAGAAAAAGGAAATGGGGGAAAGAGAATGGAGAATTTAAGACTTAAAAAAAGAACCAAAGAAAAGAAAAATAATTCAAAAAATAAGTATAATACTGGAAAGCAACAGAAAAGGGGAATACAGAAGAGGAAAATAGAGGTAGAGAGACAAAGGGGTAAAAAGGGGAGAGAGAAGAAGAGAGGGAAGAAGGAAAGGAAAAGAAGTTACAAAGGTCCGGAGCAAGATATAAAGAAACAGGACCTATTTAGAGATAATGGGTGAAAATCTAACTGAAAAAGGGATTCTGTAAAGGTACATAAGATTATATTGTTATATTTGTAGTAGAAATAACTTTAGAAAATTGGAAACAACATATGATTAGAATGAGGGATAAAATAGTTAGTGTAATTTAGTGAAATGTTTGTGAATAAAGTAAATGAAATAAAATAAATGAGAAAATTGAATTAGGAAGGAACAGGAACATTTTAATTAGTCAATGTTTTATAAAATATTAGTGAAGTGGCGGGAAGCAACTATGGAAAGTTTATAATTGTTCCCATAGAAGTATGATATTTAATTGAAAAGTAATGTGAAATATGTTAAGACTTTAATGAATATTAATATTAATGATAGAATTGAATTGGAATGGAATGTTGTTTTAATTATATACATTTATAAAAAAAATTTTTTCAAGAATACTGTGTGTAGTTTAAGAATGTACCAAGCAGAATTCGAATGGAAATTATGTATTATATTGAGTGTTATAATTTTAGGGGAAGGATATAAAGGTGTCATACTCCAATCAGTAACTGCAGGAGAAATTTTGTTTAATGAGAAAAGATAATAGACAATTGAAACAGGACAGACAAAAAATATAAATATAATGATTTGAATTGAGATGAAATAAATAAAATAAAATTGAGAAAATTAAAAGAGGGGAGAAGCCATGTAGAAAATGTAAAGTAGTAATAAGATATGGAATAGAATATAAAAATGAGCATGAACCTGAATTTGCATCTGTACGAAGAAATGTAACCCGGGATTATGCTGCTTTCAAAAAAGATGTTTTATTTGTATTTCTTTTCTTTTTGTGAAAACTCAAATAAAATTAAAAAAAAAAAATTACTACCAGTTCTGTGGGTGTGGCTTGGTAGGCATAGCAGGGGAAGGATGCTGCAAAATCCCCATTCTTTTCCAACCCCGCTAAACTGCTTTCCAGCTCCGTTCTCCTGTGGCAGGGCAACAAAAGAAGACCCAGCCGATCAGCTGGGATTCGGGAGGCAGAGAATAGATGTGGAAGTCGGGGCCAGTCAGAAGTGGTATTTGCTAGTTCTCCGAACTACTCAAAATTTCTGCTACTGGTTCTCCAGAACTGGTCAGAACTTGCTGAATACCACCTCTGTTATGGCATTCCTATGTTACGACCTGGGTCAAAACAATAAACTTACCGGTATTTATTTACACTCACCTTTTCAGCGGCTGTATCAATGGCAGATTGATTGTAGAAAGAGGTGACCGTCTTGGATCTTTCTCTGGCCAGCTCGTGATGCTGATCCATAGCCGAAGACGACCCATACCGTAGTCCAGGGAGAAGGAAGGGGAGCACGCAAGGGGCCTGGTTCCCTGCTGCCCCCAGCTCTATCCTCAGTAGTGTTTTCCACATGATCCTCTTTACCATAGACTCCTGAAGAGAGGAAAAACTGTGCCATCCCACTTTGGAAGTCCTTCCCACATCAGTTTGACCAAGATCCTGAAGTCCTGGCTAACTTCAGGATCAGCTGCTCTGGGGACTATCAAACAATCAACTATGAAGCCATGCTGCATAACCTCATCACCACTTCCCCCTTGCAAATCTAAGGGGGTAGGACCATGAACTCCCCATCTTTGCAGCTTTCTCAGCCTCCTTCACAGGGGAGGTCAAAGCAGGCAATATGGCAACTGTGGCATTGGGATGGAAGCCCTGCCTTGCTATACGAGAGATGGCATACATAGGAAAGTGACAAGGTACCATTTTGTCATGATTCCTATCCGCTTTGTTTTGACTCCCTCCCTCGCCAACATGTCACTGCCCAGCCTTATGGATTTCGTTGCACACACACACACACACCCTGTAAACATGGCATGGCTCGCTCCTTGTTAACGTTGAGAAGAGAAAATCCAGAAAGTCCAGTTGCCTCTTGAAAAAGCACCTTTGGGACAACCATGACCTGGAGGACTGAGAATCTCCATAGACTTTGAGAAGAGAAATGATAACAGTCGCTTTGGATTGTTGTTGGCACTTTTCTCCTAAATGGTAATGAGGAAGGAGCCATTTGTATAGTGGCGGGAGGTGCAATGTATTCCATAAGGCTGGGCAGTGATATCTTGACATCAAAACAGGCCAAACAGTAACCATGGGTTCCAGATCTTCATCTGCTGGGAATAACAAGAAGTCATGTTATGTTACTGGCTGGCTTTATTGTGATTGTGCCTATTGTTTTAATGGCCTTATGATTGTTTTACATGTGCAATCTGCCCAGAATTATTTAACCGTGCTGGCACAGGAACGGTGCAAAATAACAAATAAGAAACAAAGCAGAAGCAGTCATGACCAATTGAATATTTCTATGCTCTTGCTATCATTTACTATTCTTTATTGAATCTTTAACCTGACCAAAAAAATTGTGATCTGAACACAAGGGTGTCCCAGAGGGAACATTAAAGGTGTGGTTTAATTGCAGCACAAACAGAGAAATCTATATAGGGCAGCATAAGCAAACACAGCTTGATAAACAAACAAAATCAGACTTAACGATGTACAGAATATATCCCAGAGGAGGCTCTTCTGAGCTTACCTCATGGGAGGGGTACCCAGAGTACAGGTAGTCCTCGACTTACGGCGCCAGTTGAGCTCAAAGTTTCTGTTGCTAAGCAAGACAGTTTAGTTTTTCCTCAGTTTATGACCCTCCTTGCCACAGTTGTTAAGTGGATCTGGCATCCCCATTGACTTTGCTTGTGAGAAAGTCACAAAAGGATATCACATGACACATAACCCCGGACCATTGGCCAAGCGGGCCAATTTTGACCATGGGGGTACTGCAATGGTCGTAAGTGTAAACAATGCTCATGTCACTTTTTTCAGTGTTGTCATAACTTCAAAAGGTCACCAAAGGAATGGTTGTAAGTCGAGGACTATCTGTAGTTTGTTTCCATTTTTAAAAAAACATAATAATTCCCTTGAAATGTAAGCCTATTATATCCAGTTCAGGGTGTTAAGTTAGAAACAGCTTCTGAGTAGCTGGATGACATCGCCTGAGTAAACATTCAGCAGCCTCCTTAAACAAGGAAGGAAACTAAGATAATTGCTAAATAGAATCTATTCTGATTCAGCCAGAACGACTGGATTCACACACTCGATTAGGTTTAATATTCCATATTTCTCCCAAGAACTAAAGGCGACATCTAGGGGATATCTTAATTTCTTCCCCACAACAAAACCCCTGAGAAGTCAATTGGCCGAAAGAACGGAAGTGGTCACCTAGTCATCTCCCCATTCTCAATCCATCATATTCATCACTCCAGCTTCTGGGCTGAGAGAGAGAGACTGGTCCAAAGTCACCCAGGGAACTTCAACATCTAAGATTGGGATTCAAATTTGGGACTCACCAATGCTCAACCAATGCCTTAAACCAGTATTTGCCAACTTTGGCAACTTCTAGCCGGGTGGACTTCAATTCCCAGAATTCTCAGTGGCTGCGTTGGCTGTGGAATTCTGGAATTTGAAGTCCATGTACCCTAAAAATTCCATGGCTGAGAAACCTTGCTTTAACCGCCAGGTTATCTGTTCAAGAGTAACAAAATCCCACTCCAACCTTCCTTGGCCACTGCAATACTTACTCTTAAGATGACAAGTCACACGGATCTCTCCGTGGATGTGTCCGTTTTCCCCACGTCTGGTCGCTTTCCCCTTTGGTAGGGCCTTTGTGCATTCCCTAAATGTGAAAAAGAGGTGACCCATCTAAAGCATGACTGCTTTATTCCTTGATAGCTGAACCAGCAATCTTGAAAATATGAAAGGATGCTATTGCAAAACACTCTATGTGACGTACCTTTGTAAGGTAGTTAATGTATACCAGTAAACTGTATCTGAGCATCTGAGAGAAGATCCAGCATGCTAAAAGGATGAAATGTCTACAATGCATTCTGATGATGTTACCTAGTTTGGTAATGAAATGTCTGCAAGAAAACCACCGTGCTCAGACAGCACCAAGGACCAAGGATGTCTTTTTTTTAAAATTAGAGGGGAAAAAAGGGATAAAAATCTCTTCCTGTATCCAGGAGTTGTTTATCTCTTTTTCTTCCTCTATTTTTTTTAAAAAAAAGACATTGCATCGTCTCAGTATGCTAGATCTTGCCCAATTGTCTCATAGCAAAAGCCACGTAGAGCAGCAAAACATTCCAAGACTTTCTGAGTAAAAACTTGGCACAGTTTTTACATTAGTCAAATCCTGCCAGTCATTTAAAGGCTAAAGTAGCAAATTTCCTCCCAAAGACATTAAAACAGCTTTCACAGCACAATCCCCTCCCTTCAAACTGTGCAGCTCAGCAGTCCAAGGGACTGGATAGTTGTACCAACTTCAAGGCTGAATTTGCTTAACAGAACATAATGGGGGAAAAAATGAAAGCCATTCTTCATCCAAAGCCAACAGAAATTGAAAAAAATTATTCTCCTCAAACAGGCTACATTATTGCCTTCCAACTTCCTTGTTCAACAATCATTGGTGCCTTCTGTTTTTATCAGGGAAGGACAGAAAGAAAAGGAAAAGCCATTTACTGATTCAAATTTTATATATTCTAAGGGATTTGTTTATATGGATAGTCCTCGACTTAGAACAACAATTGACCCCCAAATTTTTGTGGCTAAGTGAGACAGTTGTTAAGTGAATTTTGCCTCATTTTATGATCTTTCTTGCCACAGTTGTTAAATGAATCACTACAGTTGTTAAGTTAGTAACACAATTGTTAAGTGAATCTGGCTTCTCCATTGACTTTGCTTGTCAGAAGGTGGCAAAAGGTGATCATGTGACCGTGGGGCACTACAATCGTCATAAAGATGAATCAGTTGCCAAGCATCTGAATTTTGATCACGTGGCCAGGGGGTTGTAAAAGATGTAAGTGTGAAAAATGGTCGTCACTTTTTCCAGTGCCATTGTAACTTCAGTCACTAAATGAACTGTTGTAAGTCTAGGACTACCTGTACAGTAAGGCATTCTTAAATATAATAGCCAAGAGATACTTAAGAGGCCTATAGAAATAATTTCACTGGAAGAAAAAAGCCTACTTATTACAAGAGACGGTGTTCTTTGTAACATCTGTTCTAGAAAGATACACCCACCCATGTTTTCTCTATATTTGGGTCCCCTTCCCTTTATTTCTCTTGTTCTGCATCCTCCCTTCTTCTATCCAGGGAAACCCTCAAATACTCCCATTTGCTAATTACTAAATTACATTCTCCCTCCCCACACCACCTATCATAAAGTGTAAGATGGGTTATTATGGGACATCGGTATCCACTTTTACTTCAGTATTTTGCAATCTTTTCTACTTTAAGATATTGTGGACTTCAACTCCCAGAATTCCCCAAACAGCATGGCTGGCTGGGGAATTCTGGGAGTTGAAGTCCATATTTCTTGAAGTGGCCAAGGTTGAAAAATACTGTTCTATTTGAGCTCTTATCACAAATAGGAAATTCCGAATATTTCTAGAATTTTCTACCTTCTGTTCCACTCTCTTCTCAGCACCAGGAGAACATTGAAAACTTTGCCTGGTCTCTTAAGATGTATGGCTGCCTGGGACAAAAAGCATTTACATTCTTTTTTTCATTTGGGTAGATTACTTTGTGTACTTCAACTACGTGTTCTTTCACTAATCAGCCTCCCAAAACAAATATGTATTTTCTTTTTCTTGCCTTTTCTGCCTCCAAAGCAGACCTTTGTGTTTTGATCAGGGCTAGAAACTCAGCGATTACTTCTCAAAATCTACGCAAAAGTTATGCCTGGTGTGTGCATGTGTAGACTAAAATTTGTTTTGCGCCCATTAAATAATAAATTATTCAACTGCAGGCAGTCCTCAACTTATAACCACAACTGAGCCCAAAATTTCAGCTGCTAAGCAAGAGAGTGGTTAAGTAAAATTTGCCCCATTTTACGACCTGTTTTGCCACAGCCATTAAGTGAATCACCACAGTTGTTAAGTTAGTAACACGGTTATTAAGTTAATCTGGCTTTTCCATTGACTTTGCTCGTCAGAAGGTCGCAAAAGGGGATCACATGACCCTGGGACACTGCAACCGTCATAATACATGCCAGTTGCCATGTGTCTGGATTTTGACCATGTGACTACAGGGATGCTGCAACCGTTGTAAGAGTGAAAAATGTCACTTTTTTCTGTGCCATTGTAACTTTGATCGGTCATTAAACACATGGTTGCAAGCCGAGGACTACCTCTTTAATGTATTTCCATTTAAGCTTCCATCTTAAAACTGCTAAAGACTGCAAAGTAAAACATAAACCCCCTTATTCACCTGCTTTGTGTAGTACTTATTTGATCTGTATCTTGCTTTTTCTCCAGAGCATGCATGCTCACACATATTCCTTTTTTGGTGTGACTTCTATACGCCTTCAATCAAAATTATTTCTTAAGTACCATTTTATAACAAAATAGTGATATTGTGACAGTAACACCACTGACACCCACAGTGTTCTTTTCTCAGTCCAACGCATACTAGTAATTTTCTTCTATCCTTTGAATAAACTTGCAAGGTGGCTTGGGCTGAGAGAGAAAGGCTGATCCTCAAATATTCTCTTGCAATTTGGGGATGTTTTGTAATCAACCGAGTTTTCCAGACAACCTTACAGGATGGGGCTGTCTTCCTTTTGATAGGCGGAAATCTAATCTAATCTTGTTTTAGGTTCACACAGACATGGTGGCTCCTCCATACAATGTAAACTTTTGAAGGTGGAAATGGAGCATGGTAGGGCATGGATTCCAGTCTTGCCTTCCGTCTTGAAAAGTAAAAGAAAAGAAGTCCAGCAAGGAAGCCCTCACTTGAGTGTCTACAGTAGAGGTGTCAAAGGCCCATTGGGCCGCATCCGGGTCATGGAGTGCTTAGATCTGGCCCAAGGGGCCACTCTGGAAACAGTGAAGGACCAGCCCGCAGTGCCTCTGCCAGCGAAAACGGAGTTCAGCAGGGCTGTAGGTGGCCCTCCCAAGCTCCATTTTTGCCTGCAGAAGGTTGCAGCCGAAAACGGAGCTCAGGAACCCGTTTTCACTGGCAGAGCGCTGGGGCTACCACAGGCATCCCCGACACGAGTGAGGTTGAGCTGGCCACGCCCACCCCAGCCCTCTGAGATCAAATACAGCCCTGATGGGGTCCTCAATGAAATTGAGTTTTTTGACACTCCTGATCCAGAGTGAGAAACTCTGGTGAGAATCTGGGCCTGGGTGAAGGGGATAAGGAATAAACTGGAGGAACAGGAAGAAGAGCTACAGCCAAGACAACAGATAAAGAAAACCTGAGTCTGGGCCAGAACTATAATCTGAGAAAGCATCTCAGCAAGACCTTGCCTAGTTCTCATCAAGATAAAAGGCGGGAGGGGAGAAGCATATTCAGACTTGCAAGTTTCTGTTACTGTAGCCTTATAATAATAATAGTACAGTATTAGCATTCATAACTTTGGTGTATTGTGATGGAGAACTGATGGCCTATCAGACGTTCTTGAACAACAAAACTCCTCATGACCAGTAATCAATCAGACACAATGGGAGCTGATGCCTAACAGCAATAGCACTCAGACTTATATACTGTTTCCCATGCTTTACAGCCCCTCTCTAAACGGTTTACAGAGTCACCCTATTGCCCCCAACAATCTGGGACCTCATTTTAACAACCTTGGAAGAATGGAAGGCTGAGTCTATCTTGAGGCGCTCAGAATAGAACTGCCGAATTGGTGGCAGCCAGCAGTAGACTATAGTACAACACTCTAACTACCAGGACCAGTGGGCATGGCTTGGTGGGTATGGCTTGGTGGGCGTGGCTGGGTAAGGATACTGCAAAATCCCATTCCCTCCCCATCCCACTAACCTGCTTTCCAGCTCCATTCTCTTGTTCAGGGCAACAAAAGAAGACCCAGCCAATCAGCTGGGACTGGGGAGGCAGAGAATAGATGGGGGCGGGGCCAGTCAGAGGTGGAACTACTCAAAATTTCTGCTACTGATCCTCCAGAACTGGTCAGAACTAGCTGAATACCATCTCTGGCCAGGACCTAACTGGGCATTAGAGAAGGGCAAGCAAAGGGGTGGAAAAGGTACCAGGATTACTAGTTTGTTTCCAATCTTGGAAGGACACTAAGCCCTAAAACAATGTTTATTATCCTCTGGACTTCAATTCCACATAATTAGATGGGGAATTCTGGGAGTTGAAGTCTACACATCTTCAGCTGCCAAGGTTGACAAATACCGTTCTAAGGAGTTGAAAAACAGGACACTTGAAGTTAATGCTAGGCAGCCAAATAGTGCCCCACAACATTTTCCCAAACTGGCCAAAAGGCTAAGAAATTAAAGTCAACAGGAAACAAGGACACCTGGCTTGAGTTGCAGAAGGAAATCTTGTGGCTTGGTGATCCTGGAAGCCACAACTCAAAGCAGTAAGAAACCCACAAATCTCCAGAAATCCCAGTATCCATTCACCTACCTCTTCTCCAGGTCTGGCATAGGTCCCTTCCACACAGATCCCAGAAAAGCCAACATACAACCACTGCGTCTGGCCCCTCTCTACAACCTTCACGTTCTCAGCAATGCCTGTATGTATAAGACAGCTGAGCTCTGCCCGTGTCTTTGGCCTCATTTCACCCCAAGCAGCTGAAACCTGCAAGGGGAGGGGGGGTGGGTAAGGCTGCAGGACTAGAAAGGCACTGGGCGAACAGGCTTATGAAATCCCGGAGCGCCGATAAAAGTTTTTGGAATCTGGAAAATTATTATGGTGGCAACTGTCTCATCAGCTGATGCCTGGGGAATCTGCAAGCTTGTTAGGGACTGGAGTCAATCAGCAGGAAGCCATTAAATTGTGGACCAGGCAGCAAAATGGGGAGAGAAAAAAAAACCAGACAGAATCTGCCAGCTCATTTTCAGTGGTGGTAACTTTTAAGCACAGCACTTAACAGGAAACTTATAACACTAAGTGTATTTTCTTGCAAATAAATTTCAGGGACTTGTTTCTGGTAAGTCCTTTACTGCTCTGGATCTTTTTTTCACTGTGTTTTCTTTTACTGCCTGGACTCACACATTAAGGGTGATGAAGCAAGAAGGCGATTTGTGTGGTTTGGGTTAAGCACTATGTGTAAATCCAGCTGATTATGGCTTTTTCAACAAACCAGGGCAAAACAACACATGATATGACATGATATCTGAATTTACTCTTTGTTTTACTGAGAAAAATTTATTTAGCTTTCCTAAATAATATGTCTTTCTTCCTCCTTGCATTTGCCCCAAATTTTTATCTTATATTTATAATTTATTTGGGGGAGAAATGTTTCTGTAAGATCCATTCCAGCATTTCTATGTTCCAGGTTCCTGGTTCCAGTAAGGGCCAACTCGAGTTTTATAATTATCAGAAAAAGGAAAGTGCTTTTTTCCCTCTCCCTACATTCTTCAACTTGGCTAGTTTCCTTGAAAGTCTCAACAGGAAGTGTGCCTAATTCCAAAGAATTCGGGAATTAAGATTATTGTAACAGGTTAACAGGCCACTGCTTCCAGAATAGTTAAGGAGCCATTTGTTTCTAGGACACTAAATATTTAACTAGAAATTACTTTGAAACCTGCAGAAAAATTTAGCTATTAAACTATTATCTCTTTTATCTCAATTTACAATTGATAGACACAAGGACAAGATTCTAGTTAAGAGACTAGACCCAACACTGTTCTTCCTGTGGTCAAAACCATGGCTAATATGACAGCAATCAAAGGTACATTTTCCCATCAATTATTCATAGGATTTTAGCATATTCTGGAACCTTAGTTTTTCAACCCTGACAAATTTAAGATGTACAGATTTCAACTCCCAGAATTCCCTATCCAACAAGGAGAAATTCTTCCTGCAACCAGCAGGAAGGTTGGCTGGGGATTCTGGGAATTGAAGTCCACACTCTTAAACCTGCCAGTATTGAGAAACACTGCCATAAAACATTAACAGCTTATCCCCAGAAGCACATTATATAACACAAGCCCCAAATTTCACAAGCCTTGCCTTTTCCTTGAACTGAAGGTCTCTTTTGATGCTCATTACCTGAGAAATTTGGCAGTGCTGGGCAACATGTTTTTCAGAGTAATTTAGCTGCCATAATTCATCATCCAGAATACCTGCTAATCAAGCTTCAGGGCTAGTTTTTAGTATGAAACCTAGTGCAATGTCATATCATCGTTTCTTCTCTCAGCTAGTCTGAATGCCAAGTCAACTAACTTGAAAATATGGCTCATATATTCCAATGTTTATCTCTTGACTTTCAGGAGAGATTCAAGGCAGCAAACAACACACTTTGTTATGAAAACACGATTTCACATTGCCAGGGCCAGCCCGCAGATCTCAAATATGCTATCTTCCAAGAGTTGATATTATGTGTAGTTTGCTTTCAGTCTGTCTTTAGTCTGTCAGGTAATTCTGCATATCCTATAATATACAATATTGTATCATAATTTATGCTGAAGAGTATTAACACCGCACTTGGGTTGGGAAACTAATTGAGGTAATATTTTTTTCCAGTCATTACTCATTAATATTACATGTTTGCATATTTTGGAACAGCTACTACATACCAAGAAGTGGAGACCATCACCCCTTTCTTGCCAGGTCTAGCTGTTTACATTTCCAGGTTAAACTTCTAGTAAGGGGAAATGAACAAGGTAGGATGTCTTGGAGGACTGCCCAAAGCCATCTAACATCCAAAGGGAACCAGGGGACCTCTGCCAATCACCAGTCTTGTCATTCTGCCCCTGGTTTAACCAACTGGGTTAAATTTGGTTTAATTTCAATTCCAGAGTTATGCTAATTAAACCTCTGGGCGCTAGAATGAACCAGTGCCATCAATGTGGGTGAGACTCACACGGGCCAAAATTTCTCCCACACCCCAATCTCTGTCCCAAAGAGCCTACTGTTTGAATGTTATTCATTGGAAGCAACCAAGGAAGCAGAAATAAAATTAAGAAAGGGAGAATCGCCTTCCATTCTCTGCTCCAGATGTTTCACTTTGGGCCTTGCAGTGGTTGCTACCAGTTTTTTGTTTGCTTTTTCCCACTGTCACACACAAAAAAACTGTGTTTCAACTTCCTTCCAATCCCATATCCTTTTCACAACCCATGATTATTCTTAAATAATATTTATTCTCTTTAATGCTGCAACGAGCCCACTCATACCTTTCTCCAGGGGGTACCTGGAGTCCTGAATCCCCTCTCCCACCCACTCTGTCAAACCCATCAGGCGGCTTCCTGGGCCGAAAGGCGAACCCCAATTCCCTCCCAGCGCCTGCCTCCCCCCCTCGCCCTAGTAAAAACCAGGAAGCTGCCTCCTACCTTCCGTGCCGGGGCAACAAGAAAGCAGGGTCTAAAACTTCCCCCCTCCCCGCACAAACACAATGGTATGTTCCTTAAATGACATCTTACCGCCAAGCCGAAATTCCGCCGCAATTTTCACACTTCAGGACCGGACTAAACCAGCTGCTTTTTTTCTTAGCAGAAAAAGGGGGAACTGATGGCAGGCGGTTTTTTTTGACGGAGATAAAGGCAGCAATGCCGCATGGGAAATGCAGTCCAGCAAGTGCGCTTCCATTAAGCTTTGCAGGCGCTCCGAGAAATACAAATCCCAGAAAGCCTCGCGCGACATGGGCGGAGCCTGACGGGAAATGTGGTATTAAAGAGCATCAGATCTTTGTAGCGATGGCAAAAGGGTGATCGTGTGAATAATAAAATAAGCGTTTATTTCAATAATTCGTAACAGTCGTGAAACGCATCAACTTTCAAAAGCGGTAAAAAAAAATCGAGACATGGGGTATTTCCAGTCCGAATACGAAAAAGCGTATTGCAGATTAAAAAAATCCCATAGGATTAATTTCTACATTTTTTTTTTAACCTCACGATGCTGATGCAAAGAAGCACTTAAGATATAATTGTCTTTGAGGTTTCTGGATATGTACTCCAGAATTGAAAATAGAAATATCATCAAGTCCTTTTTTATTTTCATTTTAATGTTTCTGATCCTGCTTTCATTATCATTCCAAGATTATTATTTTTTTGCTTGAACAGCTAGTTTTAGCATAATCAATTTATGCAAATATTCTTCAAAAAAGTACTGTTTATAAATCAAGACATCTCTGGAAGAAATTAAAGAAATATATCAGTAGAAATGTATTTTTTTAAATGAAAAGTGGGATTTAAGAAGGTATTATTTTTCCTTTATGTGAAAATAAATATTCAAAAAATACTGATGTAATTTGAAAATGGGGCTGACTTTTACATACAAGCATATATATCATGATCATACAAGTCTTAACTGAGTCAATTAGACAGAAAGCCAATCTGGATTTTTATCTTTGATGTCTTTATTTTTGGATAAACATTACAAGAGTTAAATTCAGAGCTGGTTGCACTAATAGAACAGCGTCCCTTGCTGTTAGCAGAGAGAACAATTCCTCCATTTAAAAAAAAATCTTTCCATTTATTATTTCACCTAAAAATGAATGGGAAAGGGAATCCACATGTTCCTTCTGCTCAACTTTCTCTTCCTGCAGCTAGAAAATGATTCAATTAAAACAAAATGAAATATAAGCCCAGCCTCTGGCAAATATGTTTTGTTATACATAGAAATAAATGGCATAGGAACTTTTGGTACAGAAAATCAAAATCAGCATAGTGTTTAAAATAATAATAATAATTCAAACTACCTTTGTAAAATTTAAGTCTAACATGTTAGCTCTATTTTAAATGGCTGAATATGTCATAATTCAATTTTTGTAAATTTCCAACTGAATCCCAATGTTCTTGGATTTACGTTATGCTACGAACAAAAGGTATTTTTAATTCAGAGTTGAAATGAGGGATCCTTGGTGTTCTCTAGGCTCGGTTGGTTTTTTTGCAGACATTTCATCAGGGATGGGATTTGACCAGTATAACTACCGGTTCTGTCGCTGTGTGTTGTGTGTGCACAATTTACGACCTGCTGAACTGCCCGGACAGCTGAGCAGCGCTGTGTGCAAGTGCGCAGTGGTTGGAAAAGCCCCTTTTTCCTGCTTTTTCAACCGCAGCTGTGTCGTGCAAAGCAGCTGTGATTGAAAAAGCAGGAAATAAAGGTCAGATAAGAGCCCAGGCGGGTGGGTGGGCCAAACAGCAGCAGACATAGAACTGGTTCTATGTATGCTCTCTGTCTGCTGCTCTTCAGAACTATCGGTTCTACAGAGGTGGAGAGAACTGGTAGAATCCCACCCCTGCATTTCATTACCCAGACTAAGTAACATCATCAGTGTTTGAAGGACTGATGGTGTTACCTAATTGGGTAATGAAACATCTGCAACAGCCAAGTTCAAAGAGTACAAAGGACCTCATTTTTGTTAACTCTGGATTTTTGCTTTGCAAGAACATCTCTGTATACAGAAATATTTTTCAGTTTGTTTCTTACCAGGAGAAATTACATTGACTTCCAACGGGTTGTTTTACAATCAGTAGTTACGAGTCTCATAATGAGTGCTTTATAGCTTGTACAATCTCTGGCTATGGTATTGTAAAATGTGCCCATGCCCTCATAGTCACGTGACCGCACTCTGATCTCTTAAAAACTGGCTTATATTTACCTTTGCAATCTCCCACAGTCATCTGACCACGATTTATAATACTTGTTTTCTGGTTTCAAGAAAAAAAAAGCAATTCAGAAGAATGGGCTTTTTTAATGTGATTCACTTAACAACTGAGGTGATTTACTTAACAACCACAGTAAAAATGTAGGGGGGAAAGTGGTGCTTCAGCTTATGAATGGAACAACTTATGACCAGATTTCTAGTCCCAATTGATGTCATAAATCAAGATCTACCAGCAACTGTTTACAGATGGGTTTGCATCTCTGTTTATAATTTTCATTTTACAATCTACTGAACGTAATTTGGGCTGTGGACCTAGACCAGTCTCAGTTTTAATTTATCTACAATGTGTAGTGTTTTATTTCTAATGAAAATAATTATCTGCAACTTGCTATTTTTTTCCGTAGTTATGCATCGCTATCTGCTATTTGGGAAACACTGTTTCAGTTTGCCAAATGATAAGGTCAGCATAATACCAGGCAAAGGAAAGTAATGATGGGAAAAGTAAACTAGGCCTGATTATCAGTGTAAAACAGCCCCTGTTCAATGAGGAGATGTTTTTAACATGATAGTCCAAAATCTTTAAAAGTTTATATTAAGCACGGCATGTCTGAAGGATGGAGGTCAACAGCATGAAAATGGTAGGTATAACTGGGGGATAAGACTCTTTTTATGTGCATGTGATGTGTGCTATGCATATGAAAAAAGGGCAGGTATCAATGACCTGGTTGCCCATATTAGGTTGATGCTATCTACCCCTGTATTAAATCCATTCATAAAACTCATCACTTTCTATACATCTAAAGTGATCAAGAATAATCTGTAATTGCACAAATGATCATATATAAAACAATTTAAAAGAGCTAAGGAAAAATGCCACTTAAAAAGTTGTAAAATCAAAACAGCTTAATTTTGGTTTGCATTGCGCAAGGTAGCTTCCATTTTAATTGCAGGTAGTAGAAATCAGATAGCTGAGATGTTTTGAGTCTGAAGGATGGTGGGAGATATGCAGAACAACATGACCTCCTGGGTAAAGAAGATGAAGATGGTGTCTAAGCTGTCTACTTCAGGGATGTCAAACTCAAGGCCCGGGAGCTGGAGCCCGGGGTGCTTAGGTCTGGGCTATGGGGCTGCCCTGGAAACAGCGAGAGTCCGGCCCGCAGTGCCTCTGCCAGGGAAAACAATTCGAAAAGGCCTCCTCTGGCCCTCCTGAGCTCCATTTTCAGCTGCAATGGCTTCCTGCAGCTCTCTGCCAGCAAAAATGGAGCTCGAGGGGGCCCTGTTTTCCCTGGCAGCAGGATGCAGGAGGCCATCCTGGCCAAAAATGGAGCTTGTGAGGGCTGCACACGGTTTTTGCTGGCAGAGGGCTGCAGGAGGCCAAAAATGGAGCTTGGGAGCCTGTTATCTCTGGCAGAGTGCTTGGGCCACAGGCGCGCCCGACATGAGTGACGTCAAGCTGCCATGCCCACCTTGGCCACCTCCACCCCCAGAGGTCAAACACAACCCTGATGCAGCTTTCAATGAAATCAAGTTTGACACCCCTGGTCTACTTGGTCATCTTCAAAAATTTGGAATGGTCCAGGCCCAAAGGACATAGTATTCAGTGCCTCTTGGCTTTTCTCTTCGGCAGGGGTGGACTGTTGAGGTAACCAAGGCGCTTGTAGTTTATAAACAGGAGGGCAAAGTTGAGGATGTAGGTGCTGATGCAAATCACACAGAAGTCGTGGAGCACATAAAAAAGGATGTAGGCCAAATAGAGAGATCCAGCAACGGAGACAAAAGAAGAGCCCACCAGAGCAATGGCTGCCAGGTTGTGATGAAAGAAACCTATGAGGATGAACCAGGGTTAACTTCTTTTCAGCGCTTTGACAGAAATGTTCTTAGGAATTAATAATAAAAGCATGATTTGATCAATTTGCTCGCAACCAAGAGAGAAGCATTTTTCAAACTGAGCAACTTTAAGACGCACAGACTTCAACTCCCCCAATTCCCCAGCCAGCTATGCTGGCTGAAGGATGAATTCCCCCCACTCACCCACCCCGGCTGGCTGAGGAATTCTGGGAGTTGAAGTCTGTGCATCTTCAGGTTGTCAGGGTTCATAAACAGTGTTAAATTTGCTCAGATTAAAAAACACTGTACTAGGGAAAAGACTTAAAATTGGCTTGGTGCAGAGGGTTGTGTGAATCATGTTTCAGAGCTTAGTGTGGTTGTATGAACTTATTTCATGTTTGATCAAACTATGGTTAAGCAAGCCATGGTTTATCATAACACATGAACCCAACTTACCTCTGTTTCTCACTTGTCCTTTTCCTATGCTAAATGCCAATCCTGACCTATCCCCATAAAACCACTCCCTCTGAAGATCACTTCCTGTTCTTTTTCTTTGGCACTCCCATGGTACAACTCCTATGCAACCACTGTGTCGCATCTCTTGCCTACTGAGCACATTCTGTCCTGCAAAAAAATTTTTTTTTGCAGTTTTTTCCTGTTTTACATTTTTGCAGATCTGGAACTTTACTCAGTATTTATCATCTTTCATTTGTTTCCCACCCCTCTTATTCCAAACCCTCTTCTATTGATGCTCATGATTCAAGCAAGATTAATACAGGCAGTCCTTAACTTATAACCATGATGTTTTTGCCAAAAACTGGCATTTATTCCAGTTTCTAGTAAAAAAATAAAAATAACAACCCTATTGGTTAAAATGGATTCCCTTAACCACACTGACAAACAAGGTTATAAAATTGGGTGCAGTCACATGGTGACCTACTTAATGACTAGCACGACTTACGAATGTAACTCAGAGTTCAATTATGGTCAGAAGTTGAAGACTACCTGTATTATCAATATTTGAGAGAGCCTGAAGATAAATCAGCCATCTGGTTTCCTCTGCTAAGGAAGACAATAGATTAATGCTGGTTAATGAGCCATGTGAAGAAATTGCACCCCACTTAAACCTGCTTGAATGACCATATGTCACAGCAGCCTAGCTCACAAGACACCCCCTCCCCCCAGTGTGAGCCTTTCTAAGCTCCGAGGAAAAAAGACAAGATATACATCTAATCAATTGTGAGGCAATTGTGGGGCTAAAGAGGACAGAAGGATGGACTTTCCATCATGCTTTCTCTTGCACATTCTGTGCCTCTTACTCACCGAGAAGTATCTGCAGAATGTAGAAAATAATCCCAAAAATGCTGTTTGGCTGATTGAAGAGGCTGTGAGGTCCCAGGAGGTCTGCCACCAAGCCAAAACCACGACCCCACCTGGAAAAAATAATGCTGGGTAATGATTAGTGACAATAAGCAGAGGTTAGGGCGAGGAATTCCAGGGAATCTCAGCCCGAATCTAGAAGGAGAAATCGGAAAACAACACACTGTCCTGAAATAATAGAATAAGGATAACAGGGACCTTGGAGGCCCAGGCAGGAAACCCTACACCACTTCAGACAAATGGTTTTCTAGCATCTTCTTTGTAACTTCCAGTGTTGGAGCATTCACAACTTCTGGAGGCAAGTTGCTCCACTGATTAATTGTTCTAACTGTCAGGAAATTCATCCTAGGTTGCTTCTCTCCTTGATTAGTTTCCACCTGTTGCTTCTTGTCCTGCCCTCAGGGGCTTTGGAGAATAGTTTGATTCCCTCTTCTTTGTGGCAGCCCTGAGATACTGGAACACTGTCCTAGTCCTTTTTTTCATACCAGTTCCTGCCACTGTTCTTCATATGTTTTAGCCTCCAGTCCCCTAAAGATGCAGGCAACCGTTTTCTTTGTGACACTTGACAGAAGGAAAATTGGATTTTGAAGAAACAGGAGAAAAAGAGTACGGGTAGTCTTTGAGTTACAATCATGACTGGGATCCGAAATTTTGCTGTTTTAAGCAAGATGGTTGTTATCATGCCTAATTTTACAATTGTTTTTGCACTGGCTCTTAAGCGAACCACCATAAGCTATTAAGTATCATGCAGTCATTAAGCAAATCTGCTTTCCTCATTGACGTTGAAGCTGGGCAGGAAGATTGCAAATGGTGACTACATGACCCTGGGACGCTGCCACTATCTTAAATACATGTTGCTCACCAAGCGCCCAAATTTTGATCACTTGAGCTTGGAGATGCTACAGATAGTTGTAAGTGTGTGCAGCATGAAGAATCAGGAGCACACATTACATTCCTGTTAAATTGACATACAGCTCATGACTGTACACAAGAATCTAACCAACTAACAGTCAACACTAAATTGGTGCTAGATAAGACTTAACAGAATTTAAGGAGGGCTGGATTTGGATTGTTTGTGGAAACATAACAACTCCAGGCAAATTTCCCTCTTGATACCACTCCCACTTTCTGCCTTGTCTTTTCCTACAGTAAGTACCAGTTGTAAGTCAGTTTTCTAGGGAACTTTGAACAATCACTAAACAAATGGTTGTAAATCAAGAACTAGCTGTATTGATGCTTCTCAACTTTGTTGTGGGAGAAGTCTCCTGAGAATACCACGGACAGGCAAGAAAACAGATGGCCTCGTTGAACAAACCAGCCCAGCGTTCTCACTCAAGGCACAAATGACCATGTTCAAAATAGCCCTTTTTGGTACTGTCCATAGGGTTTTTCCACGTCCATGGTTTTCTCAGTTGCAATGTATGGCTTGAAGGCTTGAAAGTTGGACCATAAGAAAGGCTGAGCACCAAAGAATTGAGGCCTTTGAACTCTGGTGCTGGAGAAGACTCCTTCGAGTCCCTTGGACTGCAAGGCCATCCAACCGGTCAGTCCTAGAGGAGATCAACGCTGACTGCTCTTTAGAAGGCCAGATCCTGAAGATGAAACTCAAATACTTTGGCCACCTAATGAGAAGGAAGGACTCACTGGAGAAGAGCTCAATACTGGGAACGATTGAGGGCAAAAGAAGGGGACAGCAGAGAATGAGGTGGATGGATGGAGTCACTGAAGCAGTAGGTATGAGCTTAAATGGACTCCAGAAGATGGTAGAGGACAGGAAGGCCTGGAGGACAGGAAGGCCTGGAGGACAGGAAGGCCTGGAGGAATGTTGTCCAAGGGATCGCAATGGGTTGGACATGACTTCACGACTAACAAAAAAAAAAAAAACTATCCTACTTTGGACACATTATAGAAAGATGTAGTTATCTGGTGAAGGCTCAAATGGGGTGAAGGTATCACTCTGCCCTCCCTTGCCTCATATTTTATTTTGTTTTACAGGGTGTTCAACTCCCACATGATTCTGGACAACTTATAAGAAACACCCAACTTATTAGGTGAAAAATTAAACAATGAACCAGAAGTTTTTAGTTTTCATACCAAAGTATGAAAACTAAAAACAAAGTGAAAATAAAAAGGGGGCTTCCCAGTCCCTCTGACCCCAAGGCCTGACAGTCTCCTATAATTTCCAGAATGCCATAAAGCTGGAAGTTCCATGAATTTCTGGGGGGAAATTGGTCCAGAGGGCAGCAACTGCCAACAGTGTAGGCCCACTTCCTGGGTCAAGAAAAATGACATTCTTTAATTGGCAGGCCCCAAAGCTAACCTGACTTGCTGAACCGAACCAGAGATGCAGAGATAACTAAAAATAAGCAGTCCCTTATAGAAACCAGCATCCAGAAGTCAAACTGGTAATCGGTGCAGCTCATGCAATATTTGCAAATGATGAGAAACTCTGACAACTCCTTTTCAGCTCTTTTTTCTCTTGATGCTCATCTCTCACTGGGGCTAAGAGGCAAAGTCATTCAAAAATCAAGTCTTTTTCAGTGGTGCTGGAAGATAAGAGTTCACACCACAGCTCAAATGCTGGTTCTGATGGGAAAGACTGTCTCCCCGCCTCCCAAATTTCCTGCGAATTGTATTGGAGCCTAACCAGAGACCAAAATGAGAAGGGCATTTCAACTAAATTGTAGGGCAGGGAGTCCTGGGCTAGGAGCCACAAATTTATTTGGAGGCACGATGTGGATGAAGACACAGAATGGGGGAGATAGGAACCACAGTATCAAATAGTTCGGTTCTATTCCAGCCTGGGTTAAAACTAGCTTTCTCCATAAATAACTTTCTATGAACAGAAGGGCTGTCCTGGAGAATTTCTATTTTTTTATTTGTATCTTGCCTTTATTAATTTTACAAATGATTAAAACATACAAATTCTCCCCTGCAGCTAATACAGAACATTATTCCAGGGATAATGAAGCCTAAACTCTGTGTAATTCTGTTTTTTTTTTTTTCTGTACAGGTAATTGTTTGCTGACTACAATTGAGCTCAAAATTTCCGTTACCAAGCGAGTCAGTTGCTATGCGAGTTTTGCCAATTATTGTGGTTCTTAAGTGAATCATGCAGCTATTAAATAAATCTGGCTTCCCCCACCAACTTTGCTTGTTGGAAGCTGGCTAGGAAAGTTATGAACAGGGATCACATGATTCAGGACAGTGCATTTGTCATAATAAATACATTGTGCTGCTGTAAATACCCAGTGCTGCTGTAACCTTAAACCAGGGGTGTCCAACCTTGGCAACTTTAAGACTTGTGGACTTCAAGTCCCAGAATTCACCAGCCAGAATTCTGGGAGTTGAAGTCCACAAGTCTTAAGGTTGTCAAGGTTGGACACCCCTGCCTTAAACGATCATTAAAGGATTGGTTGTAAGTCGGAGAGTATCTGTAAGAACACCTCCAGAATCTTTAGTCAGCTTTATAATATCAAATGTGCTGGGATGGTATTTTGATCCTGTTCTTGGTAAACCTACAATGGGGAATCTGAAAGGAAGTGCTACCAGTTTCCCAACAGCAGAACCCAATTGGTTTCTCCTGGACTAAGATCAGGCCAGGTTCATGCAGTATACGAATAGCAGATCACCAGAGCAGGGGTCTCCAATCTTGCTGGCTAAGGAACCCTGGGAGTTGAAGTCCAGAAGTCTTAAAGTTGCCATGGTTGGAGACTCCTGCACCAGAGGACCCCAGGGCTGCAGACTCGATTGGAAGGCCAGAAAAGGCAAAAAGAGAGGGGGCGGGGGGGGGGCAAAAGGCCAGCCACTTCCGGATTTTTGCTAGGAAAATTACAGCACGTTCAAAACCCAAGCTCGACTCTGAAAGCGTCCTGGCCTTTAACCTCCGATTAGGCGCGCAAGACGCAACGAAGACTATCGCAACTTCCCGACTCTGAATTCCTGCAGCCTTGGATCTCCTGATGGTCTCCCGTCCGGAATAAACCTCTAAAACCTGGAAATGTAGAAACGTAGAAGGAAATCGCTCGGGTTTTCTCAGCGCTTCCTCTCAGGAGCCAGGCAAACCCCAACCCCTTCCACTTCATGGGGATGCAAATGTTTAGAGGGCGGCGAAGCTTGGGATCCTCTGGATCGGAACTGGGGTGGGGGATGGGGGGGCACCACCGACCTGGAGGTGAAGACACGGGAGCAGCTGATGTCGGCGCTGATATCGCACATAGCCCGGTAGGCGACATCACGCTCCTTGGAAGTCTCCACGTGCCAGGCGTAAATAGAGAGCGCCAGCCCCGCCAGGCAGAGCAGCAGCCGGGCTGCACGTTCCCACCTGGGCACCGTCATCCTGCCGTCGGCCACGAGGACAGAACACTGACCGCTTGAGCCAATGCTTACTTCTTCCAGCCTGGCCGTGGGACACTAAGCCGTTTCTCATTGGCCGGCCTGCGGGCGTTCGAATAGGCATCCCAGCCAGTCAAGAGAGCGGAGAAGGAAAAGGAGCAAGGCCTGCTGGGGGTTGTAGTCTTCTGGCGTTTTCTAAATAGGGGCCTGCTCATCTCAGGTTGGTGGAGGATCAAGAATGATTATAGACCAGGGGTCTCCAACCTTGGCAACTTTAAGCCTGGAGGACTTCAACTCCCAAAGTGCTTTGCTAGCTGGGAAATTCTGGGAGTTGAAGTCTGCCAGGCTTAAGGTTGGAGAGCCCTGTTATAGACTAGGAAAACGTGCAGCCTGGGCTCTTAAAAGGCGGGGCTCCTTTGAGTCTGGTTGAACTCTGGTAATCCCATGGACATGCCTTGATTAGAGCAACAATAAGGAAATGATTGGAAATTGCCCTTCAGGGATGTTTTTCCCCACATTAGACTACAGTGCAGCCCTGATGTTTGCATGCAACCACTATATTAATCAAATCAAGCTTGTTTAGCATTTCTAAGAGCATTGGGGTAGTGGGGCCTTGGTGTGATAGGTAAATCTTCCCACAATTTTGTAGATGGAGGCAAAAAAGCTAAAGGTTTCTGTTGTGAGCGGCGGTAGAGACTGAGACGGACACAGGCTTGACTTTCAACAGGCTTTATTTGAACGAATAAAGGGTTGCCGCGGCTGCTGAGGCTAACTGGCAGTCAGCTGGTGGCAACAGCTGATGCCGTTTGACAGCTCCTTTTATAGCCGGCTGTCAAACGGGATCAGCCAATGGGAGCGGTTCGGCGCTCCCACGCAGGCGGCAGACCAGAGTGAGGACCACCGTCAGTCTATGAACACAGCACTCCTTTCCCCTGGCCAGGAGCATGCGTAGTCCTGCAGCTGGGTAGGCCGCCTTCGCTCGTGGCCGGATCATCATAGTTCCAGGGACTCGCTGCTTGCAAGGAGTCCCTCGCTTCCAGGGTGTCACTTGGAGCTCGTCGTTGGCCCTCTGAAGCCCTCGCCCGAGTGTCCGGCTGCTGTCCAGGTAGGTCCCTTTGATTGGCTCGCTGTGGGAACAGCTCGGGGTTTGGCGGGTAGACTGGATCGTCTGGCGGGGAACCATTCGCGACCGCTGGGTAGACTGGTTCGCTCGGCGGGTAGGCTTCAGCATGTGGCTGGTAGACCGGGACGTCTGGTGGTCCCTGGGAGTCAACGGCAGCTCTTTCCCAACGCCTCCTTAACTGGTCGATGTGCTGGCGCCATACTCGACCATCTTCCAAGAGGATCCTATAGGACTTGGGGCCTGTAATTGAGACTATTTGCCCTGGCATCCATAGAGGGTGCCCTGCATAATTCCTGGCATAAACCAGGTCTTGCAGGGTGAATTCCCTGGCATGGCTGTCAGAGCCTAGAGGGGTGCCAGGGGCATAATGGGGGTGCAACCTGTCCAGGGTGCTCCTAAGGCGTCTGCCCATCAATAGTTTTGCAGGGGACTTGTTGGTGGTGGTGCATGGAGTAGAATGCTGGGTGAGCAAGTAAGTGGACAGTTTGGAGTGCCAATCTGCTTGGCCAAACCTTGCCAAGGCTTCCTTTACAGACCTAATAGCCCTCTCAGCCATCCCATTGCTTGCAGGGTGAAAAGGGGCTGTGAGGGCATGCCTTATGCCCAGGTTGTCTGCAAAAACTTCGAACTCACAAGAGGTGAACTGAGGGCCATTATCTGATATCAAGGTGTCAGAGAGGCCATGTGTGACGAACAGTCTGGTCAGGGCTCTCGTGACAGCCAGCGTAATTGTGGAGGGAAGCAAGGCTACATCAATCCATTTAGAGAACGAGTCTACTATGACTAAAAAGAACCGCCCATGCACTGGGCCAGCCAGGTCAACATGTAGCCGGGACCACGGGGCCCCAGCATCCTCCCATCGAGTTGGGGCAGCTGCTGGCAGTGCTGATCTAGTTGCCTGGCAGGGCTGGCACGTGCTTACCCAGCTGGAGATTCGGGCATCCATGCCTGGCCACCACACGTAGCTGCGGGCCAGAGCCTCCATCCTCACGATGCCAGGGTGGCCTTCGCGTAGGGCTTTTAAAATTGGCTCTTGTAGTATAGTGGGGATGACCACTCTTATCCCCCATAGTAAGCAACCCTGTAGTGAAGATAACTCTTGCCTGCGGGTCTTGAATGGCATGAATTCAGGGGTGTACTGAATTTCAGGCCACCCGCTCCCCACCCAGTCCAGGACTTGGGAGATTACCTTGTCCCTTCTGGAGTGGGCAGCAATATCCTCAGCTGAGATGGGCAGGTTGAGTTCGTTGCAATCAAAAATGGTGTGGATGGGCACGGGGCCTTTTACTGGTGTTGATAGAGGGCACCTGCTGAGGGCATCTGCAAGGCACAGGTTCTTTCCCAGGCGATGTACCAGCTTATTTGAGTAGGCGGCTAGGAACAGGGTCCACCTGGTCATCCGCGGGGATAGTACCTGTGGGGTTTGCTTGTCTCCTACTAAAAGGCCTAAAAGTGGTTTGTGATCAGTTATAAGCTCAAAGTAATGACCATAAAGGAATTTGTGGAATTTTTTGACAGCAGCAACTGCTGCTAAGGCTTCCTTATCAATTTGACTATAGTTCCTTTCTGCTGCAGAGAATGTTCTTGAGAAGAAGGCAATTGGGGCCTCAGAGCCATTTGGCAGCCTATGGCTGAGTACTGCCCCAACACCAAAGGGGGAAGCGTCTGCTGCTAAAACCAGGGGAAGCTGTTGGTTAAATTGGATTAGTACTGCATTTGAAGTTAGCAGGGATTTGACTGCTTAGAAAGCATTAGCTTCTCTTTGTCCCTAGTGCCAGGGAACTTTCTTATCTAAAAGTCTATGTAAAGGTTCAGCTATAGAAGCCTTGTGCGGAAGGAAAGCTGCGTAGAAATTCAGGAGCCCTAAAAAGGCTTGTAGTTCCGTTTTGTTGGAGAGTGTGGGTGCCTCATGGATGGCCTTGACTTTTGATTCTATAGGATGTATTCCAGAGGCGTCAATTCGATAACCTAGGAAGTCCACTTGCTTAGTGGCAATGGTGCACTTGTCTTTTTTGAGTTTTAACCCATGCTGCCTAAAACGGTCAAGAACTGACCTAACCCTAAGTAATAATTTGTTTTGTTGGTGGCAGAGACCAAAATGTCATCAAAGTATGGGACTATACCTGGAAGTCCTTGGAGAATCCTCTCCATAAGGGACTGAAAGATACCAGGGGCCACACTAACTCCAAATTGTAAACACTTACACCAAAAAGTGCCCCTGTGGGTAACTATTGTTTGCAAATCAGCAGTATGTTTGTCTACAGGAAACTGTTGATATGCTTGAGACATATGTAGCTTTGCGAAAATTGTACCTGGCTCAAAGGGGTGCAGCAGGTGTTGGATTACGGGGACTGGGTATACACTAATTTGGAGGAAACGATTGAGGGACGTTTTATAGTCTGCGCAGATTCATACGCAGTCATCTTTTTTAAGTGGGGTGACTATGGGTGTCTCCCATTTTGCAAAATCTACTTGCTCTAGTACCCCTTGCTTGATTAGCTTATCTAGTTCTGAATCCAATTTAGGGCAAATGGCAAAAGGGACTCTATGAGGTTTTAAACAAATGGGGGTGGCTTGTGGGCCTACATCAAATGAGATAGGGGTACCAGAGTAACATCCCAGCTCATCACTAAAAACATCAGCATAGTCCCTAAATAGGATGTCTACTTTGGTATTCACCACAGAGTGAATCCCAGTTACACTAAGGCCAAGAGCAGGGAACCAATCTAGCCCAAGCAAGCTGAGAAGGGCACCATCTACAACCACCAGAGGCAAGTGGCCTCTAAAGTTC